AGCACCGCTGCGCACCCAAGCGCCGCACTCTCCCTAGTGCACCACAGGCTCAGCCCCAAAAAAGTGTATTTTAACTAAGCCCCTCCCCCTGCTGCCTGATCTGATATGTCCCCTTTGATACAGGGCAGGACTTCTGTCCTGATTCTTTTCTCTTCCAGCCATTTTCTAACTCATGCCTCTGCAAACCTTTCTGAGTCACTTTTTTGTTCAAACTGGATGTCCCAGTGCTTGCCCTGGGCTCCCACCAAGGCGATGTCCACAGAGTCACCCAGAACCTGAACCAGAACCAGAATCATGATGGCCTTGGCTATGTTCCCCTGCCCTCCAGGGCAGGCACCAGGGCAGTGGATCCCCAGGTCCCTGTCAGGGCCCACATCATGGGGCGATAACAGTCCACTAAAGGACCACATCCACACATCCCATGAGAGTGTGATGAGCCGCCTTGGGGTACATGGGGCCCTAACATGGCAAGGATGATGTGGCTTATGCCCTCATGGGGCATTTACATTAGAGATGGGGCAACAGGCCCCAGAAAATATATGCACGAATAAAGACATACCTGTTGTGATGAGCTCTAGAAAGGAAACAAAACAGGAGGCTGAGAGAGAACAATGCAGGAGGCCATTAGGTGGGGGTGCCAGAGAGGGCTTCCTGGAGGAGGTGGCATTTGGGCTAAGACCTGAAGGATGATACCAAGTGAAGGGTCAGTCCACAGCCATGTCTCTGCTCTCTCTTGGACCCTTGCCCCAGCCTCCTCCTAGACCTGGCCCCTCCCCTGTGAGGAAGGAGTCTTGAGGGTGATAAGGCCTGTGATAAAACTGAGAATTTCATGAGCATTAGCTAAGCTGTGAAATGAAACTTGTTCAGCAAAACCAGCCTCCCGGCACCTCTCCCTCAAGTCAAAGAGGCCTAGAGGGGATTGTATCACCCAAGAGTCCACTTCTGGTTGGGCTCAACACCTAGGAATGACCCAAAGGGCCCAGACCTCCATTGGGTCGGTTCGATTCTGGTCTTGTCATCTAGTTGACAAGCCTGAGTTTCTTCCAGAAAGACAACTCTCGCACCATCTTAATGGTCTCTGAGGGTCTCAGCAACTTATATGCCTGAAGTAGGGATATGGCTGTAAGGTCATGCCTGTGCCACACCTGCACAGTTTCTGGCAGCTTCCCAGGTTCAACTGGGTCACACCCTGCTTGACTCAACCCCGATATTCTTTTCATGGCTTCTTGATTCTGTACTCTGACTGGGAACACAAGCTCTGGGCCAAGGCCAATGGAAAGTTTTAGTCTCTATTCTGCTTGTGTGTGCTAAGCCATGAGGCTCTCTGTTTGCTCAGTGGTTATACGATCCATTCAATTAATATGTATTAAATACTGTACTCCTTTCCTAGGGTTGCTGTAACAAGTTTAATACAAACTGGGTGCCTCAAAACGACGGAACATTATTCTCATGGTTCTGGAGGCCAGAAGTCAGTCTCTGCCTCTGTCACCACATGGTGTTCACTCCTTGTGTGTCTGTGTGGTCACAAGTCATATTAGATTAAGAGCTCTCTCTACTGCAGTATGACCTCACTTTAACTAATTATATCTACAATGACCCTATTTCCAAATAAGGTCACACATTCTGAGGTGCTGGTGTAGAGATCTCTGTTTTCAGGGAACTTGAGTAGCTCCTGTTCTGCTAGGCTTCTTTCTGTTCTTCTCTGGTGAGGAACAGAGGGTGGTCTTCGAGGTGCTGACTAACTTCTGCTTTAGAACTTGCAAACACAATGAGCTCAATCAATATTTGTTGCATGAATTAGTGCAATTTACTATTGGCAGTTGGCAAACTTCTGCATGAGATTTTACAAAATAAAAGTTGTTAACTTCCTCCTAGCAAGGCACATCAAACACTGGGAACAGAGCTGGGTCTGCTTGGCGCTTAGACTCCACAGAGCTAAACACCACACATCATGCAACTCCGCCAGCTCCCAGGAGCCAGCCCGGTGCCTGCTCTGCCCACCATTAGGGCTGCTTCTGGGTAGAGGCCTCTGAGAGATCACATGTGGGAGGAAGGTTGTGAGGATGGGTCTTCCACATTGTCCCCAGGATGTGCGAGAAAAGACCAGGGCAGGAAAACAGTGCTCAACTCCCCACCCAGGATTGGTGTTGTGAATGCAGCAGGTTTCCACTCTGTCCTCCAAGTTGAGCCTGTGAGAAACATCACATCTCTGTCTTATTTTCTGGGAATCAACAAGTCCTCATCCTATGAAGCTGGCAAGAAATTCAGCCAGTGATTTTAATATTAGAGTCAAATGTCAATGTGGGAATTTCTTTTGTATAATGCCCAAATACCCATGGCACTGGTCAGGGCATCAGCAGGAGAGGGAACACACACTGGGCAACAATATGGTGAGTTTAATAGGAGGGTTTACAAAAGTGTGGGTGGGATGTAGGGAAACCGAGAGATGTGCAGCTCCCAGGGGCCAGCAGCAGTGAGGAGCTGTTCCTATCCCTAGGCCAACAGGGCTGGAGCTGGGAGAATAAACACCCCAACCTCACTCTCCTTCCTCCTTTCAATGTGTAGTCTTGGTTCCCATTTGCCCAAACCAACAGGATTCCAAAAGGCAGCCATGGTGTGAGCAAGCCTCCCAGGGCACAGAACTAAGTGGAGAAAGTTGAAGAGATGTGGAAGGATTACAAGAAGACCCAGCACAGGGGTGTTTTATTCAAATGTGAGATACGGTTGCTATCTGCTTCTAACATGGATGTTTCACCTGCCAAAGGGCCAGGGGTCAGGGCTGAGAGTCCTCTATTCATCTGGCTTGAGTCTCTCCAGATAATCATTTGGGAAAAGATCCTGACTAAGGTAAATTAGGAGGAGAGGCTGGTCCTGAGAGAAAGGAGAAAAAAGGAAGGGGAGAGAACAATCCAGCTCCTGGGAAAGGGCTGGGAATCAAGGTTGGGAGCCTGCGGGAGCCAGCTGTTACGTGGGCTAAATTGTGTCCTCACAAAAGTTCATATATGCAAGTCCTAACCCCCAGCACCTGAGAATGCGACTGTGTTCACAGACAGAATCTTACAGATGTAATTATGTTAAAATAAGGTCATTAAGGTCGGCTCTAATCCAACATAACCAGTGTCCTTAAAAGAAGAGGAAATGTGGACACAGACACACACAGAGGGAAGATGATGTGAAGACACAGGGAGAAGACGGCCATCTGCAAGCCAAGGACAGAGGCCTGGAACAGATCCTTCCCCACAGCCCCCAGAAGGAACCAGCCCTACCGAATCTGGATCTCAGAATTCTGGCCTCAGGCCGGCCCGTGGCTCACTCGGTAGAGTGCAGTGCTGATAACACCAAGGCCATGGGTTCGGATCCTATATAGGGATGGCCGGTTAGCTCACTGGCTGAGCGTGGTGCTGACAACACCAAGTCAAGGGTTGAGATCCCGTTACCGGTCATCTTTAAAAAAAAAAAAAGAATTCTGGCCTCCAAGACTGTGAGACAATCAGTTTCTGCTGCTTGTGCCACCCAGTTTGTGGCACTTTGTTAGAGCAGCCCCAAGCAGACTAATCTGCCAGCCACCAAGGTGGTCCATCATGATCCTCACCTCCTGGCATTTGTGTCCCTGCATAGTCTCTTCCCATAAGGAAGCAGGGCTGCTCTTTGTGATCAATAGGATACGGCAGAAGTGACAGTGCATGACTTCTGAGGCTAGGTCATAAAGGGCATTGCAGCTTCCACCCTGGTCTCTTGGATTTCCCTTTCAGGGGAATCCAGCCACCACGTTGTGAGGACACTCAAGTAGCCCCATAGGGGACCACAACAAGGGCCAGCTCCCAGTTGCCAGCTGTGGAGCCCTCAGCCCCAGTTGAGCCTTCAGGTCATGGCAGCCTTAGCTGACACCTACAGCAATCTCAGACTGAGGCCCAACATGGCTCTGGGAAAGTACAATATTATCCCTATATGAAGAAAAAGGTGCTTAACTTCAGAAGTAAGCCAAGAAATGAGGATTCAAAGAAATAAGAGACTTGGAAAGGGGTTCAAATGGGAAAGAGATACACTCAAAATGATTTCTAAACCAGTGTACTTACGTTCAGTGGCAGTAGAAATTTTAAACGATTATAAATATTTTCCTAGTTATTGAAAGGGAGCATTACGCCAGGAAAATTTCTGGTATCGCCTTACTTTAAAAGACACTAAACACAAGAAAACCAGCACTGCAGTCACTTACTCCAGCTCTGTCTGTATTGGGGTTTCTCAAAGTAGCATGAGGTCCTGGGGGCTTAGGTGGTGCCAGGGTGGGAGGTGTCTCATGTGAGCCACTGTCCACACAGACTGCTGCTGAGATGACTGTGTGGTCTGTTCCCACAGCCCTTGCGGTCAGGCTGCTGCTTCCCTGACACGTGCATTCTGGGTATCTTTGCTGCCGCAGGCCAAGAAGAATCTAGTTTTCCTTCACTTCAGGGTGGGAACAGCTCCATTACCACACCCTCCCAGGAGGTAAGGGCAAAATATTTGGGGCTGGTCCGAGTGCAGTGGTGTTTACGACTAATTGATTGAACCAGTTACAGATTTCTGTGTTCCTTCTCCACTCTCACTGCTTCACTTGACTAGCCTTTGAAAAAAAGTTAAAACTGGGGAGACTCCAGGCTGCTGATGCCACAAGGAAGGAGAGGGCAAAAATACATTTCCAGCTTAAAGCAATCCAAACGTTCATGGCACACGACACCCACATGAGCAGCCAACGCTTCTCATGCGTTCGTTCACAAGTCACCTGCTCTAAATGAACTCAAGTTCTCATGATTTGCAGCTGAAGTAAGTTTTTTTTAATGTTCATTGTTCAGCTGACACACTAAGTTAAGTGACTTAACTGAGGTTAAGTCACTTGTCCAAGGTCACTCAGCTACAAAGTAGATAAGCCTGGATTCAAACTCCATGTGGGATCATGAGTCCGTATACTGGACCCGACACACGCTGCCTCATGGGGCAAGAACGAGGGAGGGACAAGTGCAGGGCTAGAGGCTATTCTGCTGGGCTTGCCTGAGGTCAGCAGTGATGCCCACCCACTCTGGCAGGAAGGCCGCTTGTGGCTTAAAGACCATGTGGAAGGGGAGTCAGGCAGCGTAAAGTTGGCTAAGTAGATGGTGTCCCCACCCGTGAGGTAGGCAGCCCAGACCCCAAAGGTGCCCAAGGTGATGATGCTGTGGTTACACTGTGTGAGCAGTGCAAAGTCCCTGGCAGGTGAGCCTTGAAGGCCATTGCCAGCAAGCACCATGTCCTGGAGGGAGTTGTTGATGCTCTCCCGGCACCAGGCCATGTCATCACTGGTGACCACAAAGACTGGGCTGCGGTAGTGAGCCCGGAACCAGTCCAGGGCCTGCCACAGGTAGCCCCGGTCGGCCAGCATGCCCTTCCACACCCTTGGCATGACATGGACATAGTTCCCCCGGTGCACGTGGACCCCCACGAAAGTCGCCTGCTGGGCCCTCTTGGCCTGCAAGGCCTGGAGGAACATCTGGGCCTCCTCACGCACGTGGTCGTGCAGGGTGAACTCCTGGAGGATCTCGTGGCGGAGGTGATGGTAGAAGGTCCGGGAGCAGGGGTAGCCCGTGAAGCGGATGTAGTCCCCCAAGATGTGGCGGTACCGATCCTCCATCCAGTCGTTCAGGCGGTAGTTCCACCACCGGATGCTGCTGGCCGTGCTGCTGTGCAGGACGGGGAGGGTGATTTTGAAGATGGGGGCCAGCGTGCTGTGCATCTGGGCCGGGATGAAGCCAGGCCGCCCGTTCATCTTGGCCAGGGAGTACAGCCTGGCATACTGGCCCATCTGGTTCCCCAAGTGTCCTTTGCAGTTGATGGTGAATATGCCCTCCCGGGGAAGGTGTTTGAGGACCATGACCACATGGACAGGATGCCCAGGGGGCGGGCACCAGAGCCAGGTGTTGGTGGCAATGGAAGATGATGGATACCACGAAGATGAGGAGGAGGAAGTAGATGGTGGAGAGGGAAGGGCAGGTGGCCCAGAATCCCCTGACGCTTGTGGGAGAAGAATGGATATAAGTCAGGAGGGATGGCTGGAGGGACGGCTGGAGGGATACGAGTCTCATTTGCTCACCACCTTCCCGTTCATTCGTTCACTCACTCAATCCATCCATACCTGTATAGTGAGCACCACGGCAGAGGCCTAAGAGCGCAGATGCCGGAGTCTTTCCACCTGGGTCTGAGTCTCAGTCCCACCCCTTACTAGTGTTGTTTGACTTTAGTCAAGTTCATCCACCTCTCTGAATCTTAGTTCACTCACCTATTAAATGGGGATAATTAGGTTGAACCATTTGAAAGTGCCAACATTCAACCATATTTTACCTATACTTGCATTCATTTCATACGGTCCAGACTAACAGTACTACCTCATGGGTTTGCATGAGAACAAAATGAGATGATTTTGTAACATTCTTCAAACAGTGACTCGCACACAGGAAACACTCCGTAAGTGTTGTGAAATAAATACTTCCAGAGCATCAACTACATGCCAGGCACTATACTAGAGGTGGGGAAGCGAGCAGAGAGCAAGAGAATCAGAAGTCCTTCTCCCCATCAAGGCAGCACAGTGCAGAGGTTAGCAGCACACTCTGAAGCCAGACAGCCCAAATTCACGTGCAGGCTCCATCTCCCGCTGGCTGGGAAACCCTGTCCCTGTCTCCTCCTCTGTAAAATGGGATTAACCACAGCACCTGCGCTGGTAAATGCTAAGCATTTACTGTTAGTGGGCATGCAGATTTAAGCTGGCCACAGACTCTTTGACTCTTTCCTTGAATTTGAGCAGGCCTGTGAATGCCTTGACCAGTCAAACATGCTGAAAAAATTATGCTGTGCCCCTTTTCTGGCCCAGGACTTAAGGGTCTAGCACTTCCCACTTCCCACCTCAGGAACATTTTCTCTGCACTACCATGTCAAACTGTATAGTTTTAGCTTTTATATTTAGTCTGCAATGAGCTCTTTTTTGGGGGGTAACCACTTTATTGAGACATAATTCACATACCATATAATTCTCCCATTTAAAGTGTACAATTTAATGGCTTTTAGAATATTCACAGAGCTGTACAGCCATCACAATCAATTTTAGAACATTTGTATCACCCCAAAAGAAACCCCACACTCTTTAGCTATCTCCCCTAAATCTTCCCATCCCCCTGCCTCCTCCCTTCAATAATATACTTTTGTGATTTTTATGGATTTACCTATTCTGGAGATTTCATATAAATGGAATCATACAATATGTGGCCTTTCATGTCTGGCTTCTTTCACTCAACACGATGTATTCAAGGTCCACCCATGTTGTAGCAGGTATCAGTACTTCGTTCCTTTTTATGGCCCAGTAATATTCTGTTGTATGGACAGACCACATTTTGTTTATCTATTTGCCCGCTGGTGGACATTTGGGTTGTTTCCACTTTTGCCTATTATGAGTAATGCTGCCATGAGTGTTCGTGTACAGGTTTCTGTTGGACATGAGCTTTCTTTTCTCTCAGGTATTCATCTAGAAGTGGAATTGCTGGGTCATTGCACATCTCTGTATTCAGTTGTTTCAGCCACTGCCAGGCAGCTTTCTAAAGCGGCTGCCCCATTTCCACTCCCAGCGGCAGTGTGTGAAGGCCCCGGTTTCTCCACGTGCCCGCCATCACTCGCCATTGTGTTTGTTTCGATTGCAGAGAGTGTGCAGTGGTGTCTCACTGTGGAGCCCAGACCTTAACCTCCAGTGCCAGCTCTGACTCCACGGGGCCTGACTAGACTCCATGCACCTCGGCTCCCCTGTCCTTGTAATGGCATGGATAATCCCTGCTTCAGGAGTGGCTTCTTTTAAAGTCAGTCTCTCCTCCAGCTCTCACCTGGGCTCCCAGAAGCAGTCTTTTCCCCTTGAGTCTCCACCACATCCTGATAGGCTTTCTCCTCTCCCCTCATCCACTCCTCTGACTAACATCCTATGGGTTCCCTGTGGACATTCCAGTGGCTACAATGCAGTAGGTCTCCCCCACACTTTATTGCCAAAGTACTAGACTACCTGGTCCCCTCCCTCACCCCCTGCCTGCTCCCCATCTCTCCCTCTGTAGGTCCCCTTCATTATCGGGGCTCTGCAGGCCACCTCAGCTCTTATTCTCCTATATTCCAGGTCCCCTTCCCGATTAATCTGACCCTCTTGGGAAATCTGAACACTTTTGGGCCCTCTTTGAATGTCTTGTGTGGGTCCCCGGTGAGGTCAGCTGGCTCTTACCACACGAGGATTAGATACGACACCACACTCCCCTGACAGGTGAATGAGAAATGCCTTGTTTGCTGCTTTTTATTTTATTTTTTTTAAAGATGACCGGTAAGGGGATCTTAACCCTTGACTTGGTGCTGTCAGCACCACGCTCTCCCAAGTGAGCGAACCGGCCATCCCTATATAGGGATCTGAACCCATGGCCTTGGCGTTATCAGCATTGCACTCTCCCAAGTAGCCACAGGCCGGCCCCTTGTTTGCTACTTTTGTTTCCAAAAAGGGGCTTAGGAGTTAAACCTACCTCCTAAGCCCCTCTTCTCACTAAGCTGGTGAAAATCCTGTCTCAACCATTACCACAATGCCCACCTGACTCAGAGTCCTGCCACATGGAGAAGAAGCTGAGTTGCCCAGCCCAGCCAGAGCTCCAGGCAAGCCCCAAAGCCAGTTCAGGACAAAGGTGCCTGTGAGCTGGGTCCACCTTCATGGTGTGTGACCCATGCATTAGCACGGGCACGGCACTCAGACAGGCCCCCCACTTGGTTTATGGCTCTGTCGTTGCCATCTTGAAATTCTTAATAAATTCTGAACAAGGGGCCCTGTGTTTGCATCTTGCACTGTGCCCTGCAAATCATGTAGCTTGTCCGGCAGCCATCCTCTGTCTACCTATTCCAGGGGTCTCAAGAGCTCCCTCTTGCCATTTCTGGTCCTTCCGCCCTCCCCCTCTCCAGCACTCTCGGGGTGCTAATCTCCTGAAGGCAGCTCAGGCTATTGAGAACAAAAGTGAAGAAGAAAGCGTCCCTCTAGGGGACACGAGCTTAGGAGACTTCTTGTCCCTGGGTGGGTAGGAAAATACCAGTGAGACCTAAACCTTCTTCCTGAATTTTCTCTGGCAGCACAACTAGCCTGTGCACTGGCTTTTGCATCTGCCTGGACTGCTCCTGTGGCCTGCCTTTCAGGTCTCAACCCAAACGTCCCCTCCTCATTGCCCACTTAAATCTGCAACGTCCCCAGCCTCTGGGGCTACCTACCTACAGTGCTTTTGCTCCAAAGCACTTGAAACCTTCTAACTTTCTACAGATGAAACTATTTGTTGCTTTTTTGTCTCTCTTTCATCCTTCTCTAGAAGGTGAGTCTGACAAGGGTAGGGGGTTTCGTGTTCTCTTCACCGAGGTATCTCCTGCAAAGAGTGTCTGGCACACAGCGGGAGCTCGGTCTGGACCTGTTGAACTGATTAGTGCTGTGTCAATCTTGCAGTGCAGTGTCCTCTCCCCAGGTCAGATATGCCCCCCTCTGATATGGGGGTGTCCCTCTCTTGCAGCTAATCCTCCTTACAGCTTTCAGAATCACACTACCTTCTTCCAAATCTGATGTCCCTGTCCTTGCTCCTGCATGTCTGGCCCCCTCCACTGTGGCATGTAAGGGTCACCCAGAACCAGAATCATGGATGGCCACGGCTGTGCCGTCGCACCCCCCAGGGCAGGCAGCGGGCAGCGGATCTCAAATCCCTGTCAGAACTTGGCCCACAACATGTCACAATAAATACTGGAGCCCTCAAGGACACACAGCAGCAACTACCATGGCCTATCCTCCCTTGGCCCTTGCTTTTCTCAGCAGGAAGTGACGGAAAATGCTATTTTTCTAGCCAAAACCATTTGGATATGTAATAGAGTAGACAGCAACATTCGTGTGGAAATTTCATGTTGAAAGCACTGAGGCCTACAGGCTGCCTCTGAGCTTTGCCCCCACGCTCCCCACTTTCCCCCTCCGGCCACTAGGACCATTGAGGCCCAAGGTGTTCTCGTCTCCTCCACTGCCCTCCCCGCCATCTTAGATCTCTGGGTTATCCCGCAGCTGGTCTGATCTTTCCAAGAGCGTGGATTTTTAAGGCTTGAAAGCGACTGACCTTAACGCTATTAACCCACAGCTGACAGAAGGTTCCAGAGGGGAGGAGGAGGGGCTGGCTTGGGGTCACACAGCCGGAGGCAGGGACCAAGCGGAAGTCCTAGTGGCAAACACACCACCTCAGTGTGAGCAGCCCTGTGCACACAGTGGGGCTGAGCCGCACCTTTGGGAGTCAGTGAGACAGGGGGTGAGTCAGAATGGAGTGGGGACCCCAGACCCAGGACTCCCATCTTGCAGCCATCCCATCATACCTGCCTTGAGCCTCCTAGGCCAGCTTGCTCGGGACATTTGGGTTGTTTCCACTTTTGCACTCACTTCCCACACAGTCCCGGGTGGCGTGGCTGGCAGGGGTCCCTATGTGGAGAGTGTGGCTGTGGTTGGCGAGGGGATTGGGGCGGGGGGCGGGGGGTGGAGTGGGGAGTGGTGGTGGTGTTGGATTCTGCAGGCTTTGCTCTGAGCTCCCGCCCAGAACCCCCACTAGCCTGGGGCCTGAGAACAGACACTCGCCACTCCCTCCTGAGAGCCCACCGCCGCTGGCCACAAAGCTCCTGCGGGAGGAAGAGCGCGTGGGGAACCGACTGCAGGACACTTTCCTCTTGGGCACAGGTTTGGCCAATGTCAGGGGCCTAAAGGCTGGGGTGCAGGGGTGCTGCCAAGAGCTGGGGAAAGGAAGCTTGGGTCCCAGATGGACCCCACACCACCCAGGCAAGAGGCCTGACTATGCATCTGCCCTGTAAAGGGGGTGGGTGTGGGCTACAGATGACAGAAAGGTAGGGGCTGGGAGATTGGACATCTGGGTTCCTAAGTGGGCAGGGGCTGATTTCTGGATCCCCAGGAGCACTGGAGGACTCCCAGCCTGGTTCCCCAAGGTGCAGGGCTAGAAAGTCATGCCCTCTGAACTACTCAGCAAGAGGGAAGTAGGATGTGGTGGGGCTAGGTCCTTAAAAA